GATACAAATAATTATAGATTAATGTTTAATACAAATTTAATAGTAATACAACTGTCTCTTATACACATCTAGATGTGTATAAGAGACAACTATATATCACTGCCTGTAGATCACACTATATATCACCGCCCGCACATCACCCACATAACAGGTGCCCGTGGGTGCAGGTCGTCCCCCGCGTCGGTGAGGTTGACGGCGGCGCCCCGCTGGGTGCTGCCGTACTGGGCGCCCCGCAGCTCACACGGGAACACCTCCCCCAGGAACTCCCGCTGGGGGAACACAAGTTCTTTATTGCCAGGGGCATGAATAATTGTTTATATACATTACTGCTAGGGGCATGAATAATTGTTTATATACATTACATATTACAGGTCAGGGTAATATTATAAGACAGGGCGAATTCTCATAGTAATGTTACCTCAGGGTAACAGGTAATGTTACCTCAGGGTAATAGACGGTGGCGAGCAGGTTACCCCGCTGGTCCCCCACAGGTATTCGCACCATAAACTCCACCTCCCCCACGGGGGTGGGGCCGCGCTTCACGATCTGGGGGGGGGGGNTATCCCAACTTAGTGTCCCGTAACCCTAATATCCCAACTTAGTGTCCCGTAACCCTAATATCCCAACTTAGTGTCCCGTAACCCTAATATCCCAACTTAGTGTCCCGTAACCCTAATATCCCAACTTAGTGTCCCGTAACCCTAATATCCCAACTTAGTGTCCCGTAACCCTAATATCCCAACTTAGTGTCCCGTAACCCTAATATCCCAACTTAGTGTCCCGTAACCCTAATATCCCAACTTAGTGTCCCGTAACCCTAATATCCCAACTTAGTGTCCCGTAACCCTAATATCCCAACTTAGTGTCCCGTAACTCTAACATCCCAACTTAGTGTCCCGTAACCCACGGTGTGTCGGTGCATGAAGGTCAAAGAGTCCGTGTGGGTGAGGTTGATGGTGAGGGCGTCGGCGCGCTCGTAGGTCACCTGCTCCTCCGTCGACGATCTGGGGGAGGCAGGGGGTATTAACGGGGGAGTGGCGAGCCAATCAGCGTGAGGGTGACCGGTCAATCAGAGTGAGGGTGCCGGCCAATCAGCATGAGAATGACCAACCAATCAAGGTGATGGGACGCCTGTCGGAGACCACCACTGCCGTGCATCGAATGGACTATCATGATCCGTTCCCTCAAGAACGTAGCCTGCAACACTTCTTGACTGTAACGTTATCAGCCGCACGCCACCAGACAGATCACATCCATTGAATTAGACCAATCAGCCCACAGGAAAATAAGCCTGACGTCGTATGGCCCAGCGTCGTCTGCCAACACGCGAAAAAATTTTACACCACCCGGACGGAGCGCGCCGGAGCCGTCCGTATAATCTGTCCCGTGTGTCGAATCAGACCACGGTCGAACGGCCACGCGTCGTACGACGATAAATTTTGGAACAAAACTGTGCTATCTGAAACCTAACCCCGGATGTTGCGAGCTAAAAGTTACGTAATTTAGCGAAGCTGCGGAGGTCACTTGTCAAAGGACGGTACATTTTGGAACAGAACTATGCTTTCTGAAACCCAACCCCAGATTCTGTGAGCTAAAAGTTACGTAATTTAACGCAGCTGCAGAAGCCACTCGTCGAAGGACGATAGATTTTGAAACAGAACTATGCTATCTGAAACCCAACCCCAATGTTGTGAGCTAAAAGTGACGGTGCACGGCTGGATGCATGCAGTTCCACTGGCGACCTGGGCTTGTTGGTCGCAGTCCGTTGTCCGCAAGTTACAGTTCGAGCTAAAGTCAGGGTATGAAGTGATGATTCGCTGCAACGTTCAGTGGTGCATAACCATTACTCTCTGGGCTATTACCTTCAGAATATGGTGGCGTAAAGCTCCTAATGTTTAAAGCAAGATGATGTCACGGGCTGGTTACTGACGGACGTACCCGTGCAGCTGGAGGCGGACGTCGGCCGCCAACTGCAGCGCCGACGTGCCGACGTTGTCGGCGGGCGTGACCTCGACGTCGCTGCTGCCCGCCGCGACGTTCACGAGCACGGGCGGCGACCCGTCGCTCAGCTGCTCCACGTCCACCTCGATCCTCACCTCCTCCTGGGGGAGGTTATGAGGTCATGAGGTCAAGAGGTCATGAGGTTATGAGGTCATGAGGTTATGAAGTTATGAGGTTATGAGGTTATGAGGTCATGAGGTTATGAGGTCATGAGGTTATGAGGTTATGAGGTTATGAGGTCATGAGGTTAAGAGGTCATGAGGTGATGAGGTCATGAGGTTATGAAGTTATGAGGTTATGAGGTTATGAGGTCATGAGGTTATGAGGTCATGAGGTCATGAGGTTATGAGGTCATGAGGTNTGGCTGCCTCACTCGTGCCGTCGTAGCAGCGCTCTGATTGGCTGCCTCACTCGTGCCGTCGTAGCAGCGCTCTGATTGGCTGCCTCACTCGTGCCGTCGTAGCAGCGCTCTGATTGGCCGCCTCACTCGTGCCGTCGTAGCAGCGCTCTGATTGGCCGCCTCACTCGTGCCGTCGTAGCAGCGCTCTGATTGGCTGCCTCACTCGTGCCGTCGTAGCAGCGCTCTGATTGGCTGCCTCACTCGTGCCGTCGTAGCAGCGCTCTGATTGGCCGCCTCACTCGTGCCGTCGTAGCAGCGCTCTGATTGGCCGCCTCACTCGTGCCGTCGTAGCAGCGCTCTGATTGGCTGCCTCACTCGTGCCGTCGTAGCAGCGCTCTGATTGGCTGCCTCACTCGTGCCGTCGTAGCAGCGCTCTGATTGGCCGCCTCACTCGTGCCGTCGTAGCAGCGCTCTGATTGGCCGCCTCACTCGTGCCGTCGTAGCAGCGCTCTGATTGGCTGCCTCACTCGTGCCGTCGTAGCAGCGCTCTGATTGGCTGCCTCACTCGTGCCGTCGTAGCAGCGCTCTGATTGGCCGCCTCACTCGTGCCGTCGTAGCAGCGCTCTGATTGGCCGCCTCACTCGTGCCGTCGTAGCAGCGCTCTGATTGGCTGCCTCACTCGTGCCGTCGTAGCAGCGCTCTGATTGGCTGCCTCACTCGTGCCGTCGTAGCAGCGCTCTGATTGGCCGCCTCACTCGTGCCGTCGTAGCAGCGCTCTGATTGGCCGCCTCACTCGTGCCGTCGTAGCAGCGCTCTGATTGGCTGCCTCACTCGTGCCGTCGTAGCAGCGCTCTGATTGGCTGCCTCACTCGTGCCGTCGTAGCAGCGCTCTGATTGGCCGCCTCACTCGTGCCGTCGTAGCAGCGCTCTGATTGGCCGCCTCACTCGTGCCGTCGTAGCAGCGCTCTGATTGGCTGCCTCACTCGTGCCGTCCTAGCAGCGCTCTGATTGGCCGCCTCACTCGTACCGTCGTAGCAGCGCTCTGATTGGCCGCCTCACTCGTGCCGTCGTAGCAGCGCTCTTATTGGCTCCCTCAACGTTTTAAAAGTATAACCAATTTCACAAGTACAATCAAAGTTCGCTGCAACGTACCTGTGGTCGGGGTACGAGGCCGTGACCCGTAGGTCACTGCGGCAGGACGGGTCACCGTCGTCCTCGCAGCCCGTCACAAAGCTCAGGAACGTTGCCTGCCCGTCGCGTTGCAACGGGTCCGTTACGGGCGACGCTGCACACACGGGATGAAGGGTTACACGTTCGTCACTTCTCAGTAAATCATTGGTCACTCATTAGTTACTAATTGGTTACTCATTCGTAACACATGGGTCATTCATCTGTTAGTACTCATTAAGGATATCTAGCTACCGTTCATAACCTACTCAATAGCTGCTCGCTAACCTCCCCAACTGACGTCAACGTTAGTCGTTTCTAAGTTCTCAACAGTTATTGCGACTCCTACAAATTTCGCTCAGACCTACAAGTAACAAATGTCAGAGTACAAATGTCAAAATTTCGGCGAAGAATCACGTGAGTTGACAATACACGGCAGAGGAGGTGGGTGATGGTACTCACTCAAGGGGGTGACGGGGGGCGACCGCTCATCTGCGAAGGGTGAAAAAGAATTTCGTTTATAGTCAGAATTTGTTCGTTTAGAAAAAAAATTAGTTTATAATGACAGACGAAACCAAGCAATGCAATTATACTTTTGATACTCGGCGGAGACACAAGTGATACTTGACGACGATATTGTCCTCTCTGCCCCCACACATTCCCCACTCGGCCCCCGTACTTTCTTCTCTGCTCCCGTATTCCCCTCTCTTTCCGTGCTCCAATCTCTGCCCCCAGGGCTCCACACTCTGCCCCCGTGCTCCCCTCTCTGCCCCCGTGCTCCCCTCTCTTTCCGTGCTCCAATCTCTGCCCCCGTGCTCCCCTCTCTGCCCCCCGTACTCCCCACTCTCCCCATACATCCCCCACTCACCGGCACCGAAGGAGGAGCGGGGCTGGGGAGGCAGCTGGGCGGCGGGGAGGGCTGGGGAGGAGAGCCAGAACTGCAGGCGCAGCCCCACCGCCGCCTGCGCGTTGTTCACCTCAGGCTGCGCGATACAAATAATTATAGATTAATGTTTAATACAAATTTAATAGTAATACAAAGCGTGTCCGTAAAATAAGTTCCAAAAACTATTTCAGAAGGAAAAACTGGTTTAATTGCGCAGAAAAGTACATTTTTTAAATGCCCGGACTTTTTTCTAAAAAAGCCCAGAATTGCTGTTGCGTAGAGTCATGGAACTCTGCCGCCTGTCAGTGTAGAAAACTATCAACTACGTTTTGCAACTCTTCATCTGTCTGGAATTGGGTTCCGCTAAGGTTTTTCTTGGACTCGGGGAAGAGATCAAAGTCATTTGATGTTAAATCTGGACTCCTTTGTTTCTGATATGTACCCAGGTCTCGTCACCAGTAACAAGTACAGAGTCCAGAAATTCCTTTTCGGTTGTTGCGCGAAAAATAAAAACAAGAAATTCTTGGGCCGCTTCAACCCGCTGCCGCTGGTGGTCTGCTGTGAGCTTTTTTGGTACTACCTATCTTGCGTAGACCTTTGAATAGGCTAAATGTTCAGTCAAAGTCTAGTCAATTGTTGTTATGCTGACCTCAGGACTTTTTCATACAGCTCTCGAACTGTAATCCGTCGGCCTTCAGGCATTACCGCTTCTACTTCAGCAATTGTTTCGTCAGAAACCGATGGCCTCTCTGCAGGAGCATCGTCAAGTAATTTGGCATTTTTAAAGTAATTTGACATCGGCATTTTTAAAGTCCCTGACTTATCTGCGCACCATCCTGGAGCTCATACACTCTTCTCCATACATTTGAGAAAGTTCTTCGTGAATTTCCTTCACCGATTTCTTCTGAGCGGCCAGGAAACGAATAACATACCACGAGGGTGGCCCAGTGGCTACAGTTCAGAGTACCAGGATTGGCGAAGAGAGGCGCGGGTTCGATCCCAGCTCTGTGCGCCAGTTTCTGGTCAGAATCGGCGAGGAGGCCGGGCGGTTAAGCGAAGCAGAATTGTAGCAGTGAGTTGCGAGTTCGAGACCGCAAAATGCTGTGAATATTCTGCGGTGTTAAGAATTGGCGACAGGCCTACGGCCTAATAAACGCTAAAACCGCTATTAAATCGCAGCTGGTGGGAGACGCATGAGTAGCTCCATCGCTGACGCCTGCTGGGGCAAGACCAAGCGTCGCAGGGAGGCTGGCTTGGTAAGGCAGGACGTCGCAGGGAGGCTGGCTTGGTAAGGCAGGACGTCGCAGGGAGGCTGGCTTGGTAAGGCAGGACGTCGCAGGGAGGCTGGCTTGGTAAGGCAGGACGTCGCAGGGAGGCTGGCTTGGTAAGGCAGGACGTCGCAGGGAGGCTGGCTTGGTAATAGAAACGTTCCTAGCGCCAGCGGCAGCACGTGGAACTTATTTTGCGGACAGCTTCGTAAATGATGCGAATATCATTTAACTGGAGATATTATTTCATTTTTATTAAATATTAAGAAAGAATTATACAAAAGCATAACCATAATTGAAAGTTATGAAAGGAGATATTTGTTCATTTCTATTAAATAATATCAAAGAAGCATACAAAGCCATAACCATAATTGAAAGTTATGAAAGGAGATATTTGTTAATTTTTTTTAAATATTAAGAAAGAATCATTCAAAAACCTTAATTGAAAGTTTGAAAAAAAGATTTAACTGGAAATATAAATTAATTCCTATTAAATATTTATAAATAATTAAATAATCATAATCATACAATACTTAAGGGAAAGTTTTGAAAAAAAAGACACCTGGACGGTAGCGTCGAAGTTGCGGCAGTTTTGCCCCTGGCGTTGTAGTGTAGCGTTGTAGCTGAGCTGGGCAGCGTTACTGGACGTGAACAGCGCTCTGGGCGCCAGCAGCTGCCGCTGGTGATCCAGCGTCAGCTGGACCGTCACGCCTGGGGGGGAGGGGGAATTATAAGTGAAATAAATAAAATTATATTAGTCATTTTTAATTAATTATGAGTAAAATAAATAAAATTGTATTAATTTTTAATTAATTATATGTGAATAATTAGGAACGGGTGAAGACATCCNAAAACCATCTTAGAAACCGTCTTAAAACCGTATTGAAAACCATCTTAAAACCGTATTGAAAACCATCTTAAAACCGTATTGAAAACCATCTTAAAAACCGTCTTAAAACCGTATTGAAAACCATCTTAAAACCGTATTGAAAACCATCTTAAAACCGTATTGAAAACCATCTTAAAAACTGTCTTAAAACCGTCTTTAAAAAGCATGCCTAAACCTAAATAAGAAGACCCCCGCTAACAAAGCCAGCCCCCCACCAGGATAAAGGTTCTTGTCGACGTCGGCGCCCCTGGAGATGGAGATGCCGAAGCCTGCGAGGGGCCTCCCTCCCCGCTGGGGGACGTCCTCCGCCCCGATCCTCTGGGAGTACTGACGGCGGAGACCCCCAGCGCCCCCCAGGAACACGTACACCGCCCCGCCCCCCTCGTACGGCGCGCCCACCACCAGGTCTGCTCAGGGGGCACGAGGGAAATGGTTTCTATTTGTATTTTTCTGCGGTCCATCCGGCAATGTTTGATAAAAATAATTTACGGTGAGGGGAGATGAGGGCTGCAACAGAGGGGAGATGAGATGAGGGCTCCAACTGACAGGTAGACAGACACACCCAAGTAGACCACCAGACAGGTAGACAGACACACCCAAGTCTGTCTCTTATACACATCTAGATGTGTATAAGAGACAGCCACTCACCCGTGTCTCCACGCACCACTCACCCGTGTCTCCACGCACCACTCACCCGTGTCTCCACGCACCACTCACCCGTGTCTCCACGCACCACTCACCCGTNCCGGGGCTCTCAATCCCTAACCTTGTTGCCGGGGCTCTCAATCCCTAACCTTGTTGCCGGGGCTCTCAATCCCTAACCTTGTTGCCGGGGCTCTCAATCCCTAACCTTGTTGCCGGGGCTCTCAATCCCTAACCTTGTTGCCGGGGCTCTCAATCCCTAACCTTGTTGCCGGGGCTCTCAATCCCTAACCTTGTTGCCGGGGCTCTCAATCCCTAACCTTGTTGCCGGGGCTCTCAATCCCTAACCTTGTTGCCGGGGCTCTCAATCCCTAACCTTGTTGCCGGGGCTCTCAATCCCTAACCTTGTTGCCGGGGCTCTCAATCCCTAACCTTGTTGCCGGGGCTCTCAATCCCTAACCTTGTTGCCGGGGCTCTCAATCCCTAACCTTGTTGCCGGGGCTCTCAATCCCTAACCTTGTTGCCGGGGCTCTCAATCCCTAACCTTGTTGCCGGGGCTCTCAATCCCTAACCTTGTTGCCGGGGCTCTCAATCCCTAACCTTGTTGCCGGGGCTCTCAATCCCTAACCTTGTTGCCGGGGCTCTCAATCCCTAACCTTGTTGCCGGGGCTCTCAATCCCTAACCTTGTTGCCGGGGCTCTCAATCCCTAACCTTGTTGCCGGGGCTCTCAATCCCTAACCTTGTTGCCGGGGCTCTCAATCCCTAACCTTGTTGCCGGGGCTCTCAATCCCTAACCTTGTTGCCGGGGCTCTCAATCCCTAACCTTGTTGCCGGGGCTCTCAATCCCTAACCTTGTTGCCGGGGCTCTCAATCCCTAACCTTGTTGCCGGGGCTCTCAATCCCTAACCTTGTTGCCGGGGCTCTCAATCCCTAACCTTGTTGCCGGGGCTCTCAATCCCTAACCTTGTTGCCGGGGCTCTCAATCCCTAACCTTGTTGCCGGGGCTCTCAATCCCTAACCTTGTTGCCGGGGCTCTCAATCCCTAACCTTGTTGCCGGGGCTCTCAATCCCTAACCTTGTTGCCGGGACTCTCAATCCCTAACCTTGTTGCCGGGACTCTCAATCCCTTACCTTGTTCCCGGGACTCTCAATCCCTAACCTTGTTGCCGGGGCTCTCAATCCCTAACCTTGTTGCCGGGGCTCTCAATCCCTAACCTTGTTGCCGGGACTCTCAACCCCTAACCTTGTTCCCGGGACTCTCAATCCCTAACCTTGTTCCCGGGACTCTCAATCCCTTACCTTGTCCCTGGGACTCTTAGTCCCTCACTTCACCCTCAGTACTGCCAACATCTCACTTCACCCTCAGTACTGCCAACATCTCACTTCACCCTCAGTACTGCCAACATCTCACTTCACCCTCAGGACTGCCAACATCTCACCTTGCCCCTGGAGTCGGCGCCCCTGGGGGCCCCAGCGACGTAGTGCAGCTGGCCCCTGACGAAGGTGCCGGAGCTGACGGAGTACCCGAAGTAGTCGGAGTCGTTGATGCGCGGGGAGAACACGGGGTTGGGGACGAAGTCCAGGCTGAAGGCCTGCGGGGGCGACACGGGCGACGTCTGACGGCGGCGGCGACGGCGGCTTATTGAGCCCGGACCGTCCAGGACGGCGTCCCGCAGCTCTACTGCCGTACCTGGGGTCAGGGCAGGGTTAAATGGGGGGTTCAAAAGATGGTTCAATGCTTTGTCTGGTGAGAAAACCACCAAACATTCAACCTTTGAATATTTTCAACCATTTGGGCCCTTTTCTACTGCCTAGAAAAGGGTTCAACCTAATAGCAACGGACTTGTTCAAACCCCCCCCCTCTCTCTCTTTTTAACAATTGCAATGTTTAACCTCTCGGTTACTACAGAGAACATTTTGTTGAGTCCATGTAACATTCGTCACCCACAACAGGCAGATGGTTTAATAAAGTAGTGCGCGTCACATGAATTATTAAAAAGAGGTTATGGACCTCTATGATAGAATGTTCTGCAAGGACAATCCACAATCACGACATTGAAACATGTATTGTCACCCATCGTTACAATATATAAAATACTACATTTATAGCCTGACGCTGACTCCTAAGTCTTAACCACGCAACTTCTGTGCCGATTTAGACTAGGAATTTTAAAGTGAGTTGCGGGTCTCAAACCTTCAAGTCACTGCTTCAATATATTGTTGATATTAACCACTCAACCAAAACATCTATTGCGGATAAATGAAACGTCGTATAGTGGTTTCAGACTAGGAATTTCACAGCGAGTTGCGGGTCCCAAACCTGCAAGCCACTGCTTAAAAAAACGTGTTGGTGGTATCTACCACAGCAGCTCACCATGGTTGCCTCCCTCGGGTCGTCCTGGGTGTCAATGGTAGCCCCCAGCCAGCCATGGTCCTTGAGGTCGTGGTAGGCGAGCTCGCCGTTACCGATGTTGTGTTCTATGTTGCCTGATGACAAGCGCAGTACCACTACACAACATGCGAGTACCACCAATGTTGTACGCCCGGACCATTGGTACTACGGGTTAGTACACACCACGCTCGTATTTCAAACAATGATGCCACTACCAAAACCACTACCATTAAAACTCTGCCATTAAGGCACTAATATTAAAACTCTAACACAACACTACTACCAAAACTATTGCCATAAAAATTTTAACATAAAACCACTACCATTAAAACTCTAGCATAAAACCAACACCATTTGAATTCGAAAACAAAACTGCTACCATTACAATTCTACCACAACACCACTGCCATTTAAACTCTAACATATAACCACTACCATCAAAAATTTAACATAAAACCACTACCATCAAAAATTCTATCATAAAACCACTACCATAAAAAATTCTATCATAAAACCACTACCATTAAAACTCTAACACAAAACCACTCCCATTAAAACTCTACCACTACACACATGTCAGTACCACTGTTTAACTCCCTGACTACTAAAGGTTAGTTCACGCGATGCACGCTCAATCATCATATCTTACGTCATCAAAATGAAAAAATTTTAAATTTATATTTCACAATTTGGAAGACATTGACCGTATCACTTCGAGTGGTCTCTGCTACAAGTTAATTCACTAACTAATAAAAGTAACAAAAACATAAATGGAACTCATAAAAAAAACACCGAACGAAGGATTCAAGTTCAACAGGTTGCGAGATGAAGTTTGAACTTGCAATTACAGGACATGTTTAAAAGCATTAATTTATTTAGTCATCATCATAAAACTGTAAACTATGTAATGTTAACTTTAAAGGTAGAAAAACATTCAGGCTTAATTCAACTACCATAATGAGCAAAATATTGCAACAAAGAAATTATTAAAATTGGCAAATTCAATCGTAGCGCCAATTATTACAATCTGCTAATCATCATAACCAATCATATATATAATTAACGCTGGTAATGCTATTCCTACCCATGCCCACCACTAATGCTATTCCTACCCATGCCCTCCACTAATGCTATTCCTACCCATGCCCTACGATGATTGATAGTGATTATTATACGTAAGTTAATAAATCAGCTATAATTGCAGATGTATGATATGGTAAATTAATCAAATTACGGTTAAATGATATATAAGAATGGGAAAATGACGGACGACTGAATGCCGACCCAGCTTACAAGTAGGAATCACTCATAAAGTTACATTACCTCTAATTAAACAGATGTCTATAAATGGTTTATTAAAGCATTCCTGAATTCTTTGTGCTGATATCGTTGATAGTAATGAATACATTAAATTAGTAATTAACACATTATATTACTAATTAATAAATTATATTAGTAATTACTGCATTATATTAGTAATTAACACATTATATTATCAATAAATACATTATATTAGCAATTAATACATTATATTAGCAATTAATACATTTTATTAGTAATTAATAAATTATGTAAGCAAATAACACATCATTTTAGTAATAACTACATTATATTAGTAACTAATAAACTATACCGTATTAGTAATACATTATATTAGTAACTATTCAACACGCATGATCCCAGGAGCGCACCAGTGGTCGTCGTAGCGCGCTCTGCTGCGGAGGCCCACGGCGTACCCGAAGTACGAGGGGCGGTCGCCCCCCCTCTGGGGGTCCTCGAACACGATGGCCGCCTCGGGGGCCAGGTTGAAGGGGGCGACGTGCCCCACCAGCGCCGTCAGCAGGAACAGGACAATACCAACCTGCTGCATGTTATAGCCGTGACCGGCACGCTTGAGGGGGGCGGTGAACACTGAATAAACAGAGTCGGCGAGGGGACGGAGGAAAAAGGAGGGAAATGGGGAAGAAACAGGGGAAAAAAGAGGTGGAAAAGGGGAAAAAAGAGGTGGAAGAGGGGAAGAAAGAGAGGAAGGACTTTGTGGAGCCAATGAGACTGGAGACTGGATTGCAGGACACGTTTCCCGACTTGCAATATCCACTGCGAAGGACGCGTGTCGCGCGACGGAGTTGGAAGACTGGAGGATCCTTGGTCTGGAGGAGGGTAGCCTCGTGTGAAGCTCATCTTTATCCTCCATGGTCAGGGTATCGAGGGTTAGACTTGATGCCAACAGCAATTACTAACAGAACCGATGATGTGTAAAAATTAATCAAAATTAATCAAAATTTAAAGTTAACTAGGCTAAGAATAATTGAATGGTCTAAAGATTCCGAAATACCGTCATGAATAAGAACAGGGATCTAAAATCTGAAAAATGAACAAAGTAGGATTAATTTGCAGCATGTTCGTAAACATGTCAGATTAATTCGTAGCACATACTAATCAATAATTATAATTTATAAACTAAAATAGAAAACCCTGTAAATGTTAAGAAGACCAGCTCCATCAGTCCTTAACAGTAACAAAACAAATATCATCAAACGAAGGACAATTAAACTCACAGTCAAATCTATTGACGTTATATTTGCTTTTAACGTCACGTTTCCCTTACAAATTAAGCAATAAAATATAAAATTATATATCTTGCATCTATAATGAGGAAGCCGAGAGAACTGAACGTATTATTCGGCGATCGTTCACAATAAACTCAAGCAACGACAGCCGTGCCTATGCACTAATTTTGCACCAGCCATGCTTGCACCATGCACCAGCCATGCTTGCACCATGCACCAGCCATGCACCCACCAGCCATGCATCTGTCTCTTATACACATCTATTGAAACATGTATTGTCACCCATCNCACCCAAGTAGACCAACAGACAGGTAGACAGACACACCCAAGTATACCAACAGACAGGTAGACAGACTCACCCAAGTAGACCAACAGACAGGTAGACAGACTCACCCAAGTAGACAGACAGGTAGACAGACTCACCCAAGTAGACAGACGGGTAGACAGGTAGACACTCACCCAAGAAGCCGTCCAGGTTGAGGTCGCCAGGGGAGGCCACGACGGACCCGAACCTTCCCCCCGCCACGGCCTCCCCCCGCAGCCTCTCCCCCTGCAGGCGCACCTGCCCCCCCTGCCCCCCCACACCAATGATAGTAGCATTAATAATAATAGTAGTAATATCAATAATAACAAAAATAATAACATTAACAACAATAATAATTATTATAGAGATAATTATATTTATAACAATATTGATTATTAATAATGATAATAATAGTAATAACAATATTAATAATAATAATTCTTGCAATGATAGAAATTATAATAATAAAACAATTACTACAGTTTTTCATCAAGTTTCAAGTTAAAAAAAATTATTTTTAGAAATTCGTCAATCCGCTGCAACAACAAAAAAGTCAAACAACAGCAACAAAAAGTGCAAAAAGCAACAGCACAACAAGAACAACATCTACAACATAAAAAATGCAGCATAGAAAAAAGGCCAGTACAAAAACAAGAGCTACAACAACAGCAACATCAAAATAACAACAATAAAAACAATGCAAATAACGACATCGTATAACAAAACTACAAAACAAAACAAAAATAACACAAAAACAATGCAAATAACAACATCGTAAAACAAAAACAAGTGCTACGACAACAGCAACATCAAAATAACAACAACAACCCCCCAACCCCCACTACTGACGCCGCTGTTGAGGAAGACGTAGACGGCCCCGCGGTCGGGGGCGGCGCCCTCGCTGTACAGGGGCGCCCCCACCACCAGGTCGCTGAGCCCGTCCCCGTTGACGTCCACCGCCGTCACCGACGCCCCGAAGTATTCCCCAACCTGATCCCCACTGCGCTCCACCAGCACCTGCAGGCTGCTCTCCTCCACCTCCCCAAACTGGAACACCAGCACCTGGGGGTTGATTCAGACTGAATGTTGATTCAGACTGAACGTTGATTCAGACTGAATGTTGATTCAGACTGTGTCAAGAAATTTTTGACGAACACCTCTCCTAGGCGACGCATTTAGCATCGGCATGTCATTGTTCATAACGAATGAGGTGCCAAAGTAGAGAAAAACTGTCGTTATATTTGCACTTGTTTGACAGCTTAATTACAAGTTACTGGCAGTTAGAGACTAAAAATATTTAGTAATTTAGGTAAACGTTTAGTCTAACTAAAAGTTAGACTAAATGTTTACCTCCAGCCTGGCAAAATAAATTTGTTACGTGCCATTGGACACTCTGTGATCTCCAGAAAATGGATCATGACATATGTACAGTCTTGGAATCACTGATTTCACAAAGAGTAAGTCAAAAGCTGAAAAATAGGCGTATTTTTTCCACTTGTCTTCTACGGAAGGTTTTCATCTCACACGTAAGGTCTTTAATTGCCAATACCGGCATCATAGCTCTTCAGGAACTCGTACTTGATAAATAATATTTATATTGACACAAATGTTCCCTTCTCCCAGTAGATTCTTTAACCTTTTATTTTGAGTCCGGTTCTGCACAACAAAGTTTTGCCACTTAAAACTCATAAATGTAAATTGATAGAAATCAATAATAAATATTTCCACAATGTGCAACAAAAATAATTTGCCTTGAAAATAGCTTCTCAATTCCGATATCAATCCAATTACATTGTACTATCGGTTAAATTAATTGATAGGTATTGGAATGATAGGTATAAATGCATGTGTATAAAATCATTAACAACGCGCAGTGAGAACGATATACCATTTCGTGTATATTACTGAATAACAATTAAGTACAGGTACTCTCAAGTCAATATTTGCTATATTGAACGTCAACCAATTGCAGTCGTCGTACTTCGTCACAGACTCACAGACAGAAATCAATGAATGATGAAACCACGGAATGCTACTAGTCTTATCAAGATAACTGAGATAAAACCAATGTGATGTCCCTGCATGGTAATTTCAAACAGATTGTTGTTCTGACCAGACTGTCGTCGGTGCTCGCAAAGGCAAGTCTCGTAGAATAGGATTTCATTTGCGCCTCTACTTAGGATTAATTTTGACTTCAAAACCCAATTAAGGCTGTGTAAATTTAGAAATTTTCAAGGTTTAAGAAAAACTAGCGAGGATCAAATAATTTTTCTTCAAAAATGAGTATGACGACGATCGTAAACTCATGTGATTGGTAAAATATCGACACGATTACGCAGAGTTGGCCAATGCACCTGAGACGGAGCCGTTAATTCTGGCGATGATTAATTAACGCTTATTCGTGTTCAAAGTATCATTGCAAATAATTTTGACACTCTCTGTCTTGTCTTTTAACTAATGTGTAACCCAAATACTTTTGCTGTGCTTCTCATAGTAAAAATTTACAGATCGATTACAAAATAATTTTATCTGCTCAAAAAATACACACCTTTTTGTTCGTAATAGAAATAAGAGTATTCATTTTAGGAGTACTAAACGTTTTCATTCGATATGAATCTGTTTTTGTGACACTGAAACTTGTTTTCATCCTCATAAACCAAGTGCGAACACTACAGTGAAAGTATTATCTATTTACCTGAATTTTGTTCGGCGTATACTGGCACATAGGACTTCTTTATTACCCCTTTTAATTGGTACATCGAGAGGTCTTCATTTCAGGCAATTTATTGTTATACGGTGCTGTTATTCTTGTGGTCTCGTTATCTCGAGACGAAAAATCAGTGCGATGAATTTTATTCATACTTTTCAGGCTGCTAGAGATTTCTGCAGGTGAAACAAGCAGCTAAATAAATTCAACTATGTCGGCTGGACCCTTAAATACGAACGTGAAGGCACACAAGCTCGTTACCGAAGACAAAGTCCGGACTGCTCTTCTGAAAGATAAAGGCCCCGACGCCAAGTACAAATCATTCAACATAATAGACTTTTGCACTAAAGGAGACAACTATTCGTGTTTTGTCACCAGTGTCCAGGTAGAGTATCATCTAAACTCACTATAACTTTGGGTTTTATCGAAGAAAATCCCAAAGCTGCTCTATCAAAAATACTTGCACTATCAGAGAATTAAAAAAATTAAATACGAGTTTGTAGTTCCGTCAGCCAATCACTGACCGCTTTTCAAGTTAAACCCACCAATTACAGACGAGATATTGGTCGCTTCGTGTACTCAAAGTTTTGACGGTACTGCCTCTGGTCAAAAGTCAGTTCAATTAAGATTTTCATCGAGAATCCATCATGTCGAGATAATGAAGTCAAACTTCAAAACATACCATGCTGAAGTGACTAATCAAATTCTGCAGAGAATTAAGCCTATTTGAATATACAGATACCCTAACTTAACCTAAGCTTAACTTAACCTAACCTAAACCTAACTTAACTAAAATACCTACAAACAATACGACACTAGAAATCCCGGAATGGACCCCGCCGCGCCACCGCATGGATCAGTCGTTCGCCACTTCAGCGTCTTCAGCTTATTGGAAATATTCTAGTGCTGTACTGTCAAAATTCGTTTACTTACAAGAAGCGCCCTAAGTACACGAAGGCCGTAGCAGCCTGGTACAGGTAGCGACCTAAGTACACGTAGATCCCTAACTAGCGGACCTAACTATCTCGTCTGTGATTGGTGGGGTTAACTTGAAAAACAGTTAACGTCAGTGATTGCTGACGGAATTAGGAACTCGTTACTATTTAAGATAGGTTAGCCTCCTATCAATTGCATTCACAGTATTCCGAATCTAGTCGTCAAGAACCGGCGCAAATGTGCAAATAGGATTCGAATAAGAATAACAGACAATTTTTAAATTTAAAATGTACGCATTTAAAAGAACATGGGAATTAGTGATGGATAGAATCTATCCTTAAATTTCTAGAAAGAACGTATCAGAGCGTTGTTAATTATATTCGAATTCGATACAAACAGTTTCATTAGATAATGAGATACCTAAACTTCTATCCATGAACTCTGATTAGGGTTTGGAAAGAACAAGTTCTTAGATGTGTCGAATAATCGTGCTAAGCCTTCTAATTTCGACTAACTAGAGAGACTTGTTACTAAAAAGCCCTATTAATTTTGACTAACTAGTAAGACTTTTTACTACAAAACCCTACTAATTTTGAGTAACTAGTAAGATACCTATTACTACAAAGCCTTACTACCTATATCAGTAATTCTCATAAATTCGTATAAAATACTTGTCACTTCGAAGCAATTCTAATTTTCTAAAGTTTCTACACGTGGTTAAGGCCAAATAAACTTAGCGAAAAAATACGTCCATTTTGTTGATCAGTTGAAAAGATGATTACAGGATTTATTTTTCCATAAACGATGAGAAATTTTATTACCTAGGCTAATCATCAACAAAACTTATTTCATAATACGTCCAATTTTAGGGGGAAAAATTAACATAGCGGACTAGCATAAGGCGAGGCTTAAAAAATTTCCAGGTAACGTGCTTTCATGAATTGTTGACGTTTCATTTACACAAATTTCACTTCCAGGCACTGACATGATGACATCACAAGGTACATGCGGAGTACTCGTAGTCACTGCCGAGGTCGCGCTTTCGCAAGACCTTCAGCAAAACACCGCACAACCAACCCACGCGACAGCCATAACGCTACTGCCGGCCGACGTACCCGACCCGTCCGGCCGTCCTCTAGCCAGCAGTCTCATGCGTACTTCTTCACTTTTTGTAATGATTTCGATGCACACACTTGCAAAATATTTAGCAAAACTGCATCAAAAGTTAATAAACACTTTCTAATAATATAGTTTTTTACCAACTGCAAGTAATCACGCAATTATTCATCAATTAGTACACTGAATAAGATGAATATAATTCCCAGAAGTGACGTCACAGTTCAGTTGCCAGATGTTCCAGGAAAACAACCCAAGTCACAGAAGCTTGGATCCTATTCATCCGATGACGGTTACGTCACGCCGAAGGAATGACTGCGTCCCAGTGACTCATATCCTACAGGCTTAGTCGGACACACGAGGAACTTCCTTCTTTACATGGCTATTGTATCTGTGTTATGACACACAGATAACACAGCCTGTGTTCCACACAAGCCGTATAGGAACACGTTAGCAGCAGCAGTATAGGAACACGTTAGCTGCAGCAGTATAGGAACACGTTAGCTGCAGCAGTATAGGAACACGTTAGCAGCAGCAGTATAGGAACACGTTAGCAGCAGCAGTATAGGAACACGTTAGCAGCAGCAGTATAGGAACACGTTAGCAGCAGCAGTATAGGAACACGTTAGCAGCAGCAGTATAGGAACACGTTAGCAGCAGCAGTATAGGAACACGTTAGCAGCAGCAGTATAGGAACACGTTAGCAGCAGCAGTATAGGAACACGTTAGCAGCAGCAGTATAGGAACACGTTAGCAGCAGCAGTATAGGAACACGTTAGCAGCAGCAGTATAGGAACACGTTAGCAGCAGCAGTATAGGAACACGTTAGCAGCAGCAGTATAGGAACACGTTAGCAGCAGCAGTATAGGAACACGTTAGCAGCAGCAGTATAGGAACACGTTAGCAGCAGCAGTATAGGAACACGTTAGCAGCAGCAGTATAGGAACACGTTAGCAGCAGCAGTATAGGAACACGTTAGCAGCAGCAGTATAGGAACACGTTAGCAGCAGCAGTATAGGAACACGNTAAACCTGTCTCTTATACACATAGAGATGTGTATAAGAGACAGGGGTAGCAGCAGAGGGTAGCGGCTAAATAAAGGGAATGCGTTCACTGACATCGCTGTCACTTTGCACTGCCAACGACACCGATACTGCTGCATGGTTCACCTGAGAACCTGAGCTGCCGAGGGGTTCACGCAACAATTTACTAATCCCTCGAATCAAATTCGCAATAAACTTTAATTAAAATCTATTCAAATCACCGCCGGTCTTAGGAAAGAAAGATCTGAAGCCGGCGACTA